GCGGGCTGGAGCCGTGCCAAGTGCAGGGTCTGCTGGCTGGGTGCTGGCAGGCTTGCCCCTGGCACAGGCACCGTAGCCATTCCGTGCCCCTTTAAGGGCTCCGGGGCCGGGAGCGGGCAGAAGAGTTTCCCTGGTGGTGCCCAGAGTGGCCACCAGGGAAAGCTGGGGAGGGCTAGCCTCCCACTAGTTCGAATTAAGTGGCTACACAGCCCTTAATTCGAACTGCTTAATTCGAACTAGGCGTTAGTCCTCGTGGAATGAGGTTTACCTAGTTCGAATTAAGTGTTCCACTAGTTCGAATTAAGTTCGAACTAGCGGTTTGCTAGTGTAGCGCCTATCAAAGTTAATTCGAACTAACGGCTGTTAGTTCGAATTAACTTTGTAGTGTAGACATACCCTTAGACACCATCATTTTATACATAACATTGGGATTATATTTCCTACATGCATTACCTTGCATTTTTCAACATTGAATTTCATCTGCTTTTTTATTGGAGCATAAGCTTTCATGAGCAAAGACCCACTTCATCAGATGCATCTGATGAAGTGGGTCTTTGCCCACAAAAGTTTATGCTCCAATAAATTTGTTTGTCTATAAGGTGCCACAGGACTTCTTGTTGTTCTTGATTAAGAACTAACTCAGATTTAGACTAACTCAGCTATCTCTCTGCTTTTTTGTTGCCCAATCACCCAGATTTGTGAAATCCTTTTCAGTCTGCTTTGGATTTCAGTGTTTACCCCTTTTGAAGATAATTGATGAATATGTTGAAAAGGACTGGTCCCAGTACAGACTCCTGGGGTATACCACTATTTACCCTACACTCTCCATTGTGAAAACCAACCATTTATTCCTACCTTCTGTTTATTATCTTTGAGTATACTGTATTAAAATTTTAAAATTGGTCTCACTTTAGCTATCCCTCCAATCATTTGGTATGGATGCTGATTTAAATGACACATTACAGTTGTTCTGTAAGGTTATGTCTACACTAGCCCCCTAGTTCAATCTAGGGAGGCTAATGAGGGCGACCAAAATTGCAAATGAAGCCTGGGATTTAAATATCCCATGCTTCATTATCATGTTCCCGGCTGGTTGCCATTTTAGAAATTGACTAGCCCGAAGTAACTGCCTGCGTCTACAAGCGGCAGTGAAATGGGATTCCAAATTAAAGTCCTAAATCGAATTAGCTGTTATTTCTCCTGGAATAAGGTTTACCAGCTAATTCGATTTAAAGGCTTTAATTTGGAATCCCATTTCACTGCTGCGTGTAGACACGGGCAGTTACTTTGGGCTAGTCAATTTCTAAAATAACAACTGGCCGGGAACATGCTAATGAAGCGTGGGATATTTAAATCCCATGCTTCATTTGCAATTTCG